CACGCTTTGGTTTGCTTCAGGGTTTAGGGTTTAGGATACGAATTCTAGGGTTTATCCTTTGTCTTACTGTCAAGGGTTTAGGGTTTAGGGTTTAGGGTTTAGGGTTTATCCTTTGTCTTACAATGTAGGGTTTAGGGTTTAGGGTTTATCCTTTTTCTTAGAGTGAAGGGTTTAGGGTTTAGGGTTTAGGGTTTATCCTTTTTCTTAGAGTGAAGGGTTTAGGGTTTAGGGTTTATCCTTTGTCTTACAGTTTAGGGTTTAGGGTTTAGGGTTTAGGGTACGAATTCTAGGGTTTGTCCTTTATCATTTGGGTTGCAATCAGCTAGCTCAGCAGCATGGGGGCTGTCTGCTGTTTTATATAAAAAAAGACGAAGACACAAGCCCTTTGCTGCTGCTCCTGCTGCTACTGCTGCTGCTGTTCCTGCTGCTGGTATATGGGGTGTTCTTGCTTGTCTTAGGATTGCTGCTGCTGCATCTGCTTCTGCTGCTGCTGCTGCTTCTTCGTCTTCTTTTGTTTCATCTTCTCCTGCTGCTGCTGCTTCTCCTCCTGCTCCTGCTGCTGCTGCTGCTGTTGCTGCTTCTGTATCCCCTGCTGCTCCTGCTGCTGCTGCTTGTTCTTCTTCTGCTGCAGTTTCTGCTGCAGCACCAACAGCAGCAGCATCTCCTGCAGCAGCAGCAACAGCACTCTCCCCCTCCCCCTCACCACCATCACCATCACCACCATCACCACCATCAGCAGCAGCAGCAGCAGCAGCAGCAGCAGGAGGAGTATTTTGTTTAAGAGCCTCAGCAGCAGCAAGGATTTCTTCTTCTGTTGCTAGCTGTATCTGGCCTGTCTCGGGATAGAGGCGCCAACGCATGCTTACTGCTGCTGAGGTGTACGTACACCCCAGCTGCAGCACAGAGCGAGCAGCAGCATCACCACCAAGACAAGAAGAAAAACCCTTCTGACCTACAAACAGCTTCCCGCTAGACCCGTCAAACAAAAAAGCCTGAAATATACAACAGCAGCAACAGCAGCAGCAGCAGCAGCAGCAGCAGCAGCAGCAGCAGCAGCGGGAGTGGCAGCAAAAAGCAATTAAAACGCAACTAACGCAGCTACAGTATAAAAAAAAATACAAAAAAATAAAAAAAAAATATACACAAATATAAAACATTTCTGTATATATACACAAGATAGAAGCAGCAGCAGCAGCAGCAACAGCAGCAGCAGCAGCAGCAGCAGCAGCAGCAACAGCAGCAAGAGAAGGAGCAGCAGGAAAGACAGCAAGGCTAGCAGCAGCAGCAGTATAACCAGCAGCAGCACCAGCAGCAGCAGCAGCAGCATCAACACCAAAATAACAACAACGAAAACAATAATAAGTATAAAAATAAAAAAACAAATAAAAAGAATAAAAATAAAAATAAAAAAATAAAAATAAATCAAGAAGAATAAAAATGACGATAAAGATAAAGAGAAAAAGAAAGAGAAAAAGAACAGAGACAAAAATAAAAAGAAAAAAATAAAAATAAAAATAAAAATAAAAGAATGGAGACAAAGACAAAAAAAAC